AGGAGCACGTGGACATGGATCTCGAGATACACAAGAAGATCGTAGAGAAAGAAGAACCACAAGACGCACATCATCAACTTCATCTGAGCAATACACCAGCCCTTACTCGAGGTAATCTTCTAAACTCGCACTTATTTGAAGATACTAACTTGATTTATGTCTGTGCAGATCCTACAATTTTGAGGACAAAATCCAGTCAAGGGGGAGGGTATGAAGCGGTCATCAAACATGAAGCTGGCTTGGAGCTCCATCAAACATCCCATTCAAGCCGCATAGGATTTGACAAATTAGGGTTTTGACGCGTGGAGGCAGTTCTGTTGCGTGTCAGATACCTATCTGACACGAGCCCAACACGTGGCTGACACGTGTCAGTAGCTTCTGCTGTCCAGTGCGCGGACACCTGACAGACAAAAAACCCACCCGCGACTCACCCAGACTTACCTGTGCTCAACCCACTGTCTCGACCCGGATGCGTAAAACTCTACCCACGGAGTTTCTCCTTGACCCAAAATTATATTCCCTCGATAGATTTCAGATTTCCTTCGCCCAAAACTCGTCCTAAGACTTCCTTAGTCTGGTCCAAGTTGAATTTCTCCAAAGCCGTATTCTTGGAAGAAAAATCTTAAATACTTCCCCCCGGCCGTCTCGACTAGGCGAGGACCAACTCAAGGTCTTGTGGTCACTCAACTTAAGCCCCATCTCTATCGATCCAGATTATTCCCGTAATCTGCCTTTAGAAATTTCCACTCACTTGATGGTCTTTCGGCTTTGCCGATTCGGTCTTAATTAATGCCGGTCTAGCCATTCCAAAGGCCTACATAATAAATACTTAGATTTTACAAAATCAACCAAAATCACCTACACTGGCTTCCTACCGACCAAAGCATCCCCCTAAGGCTCCCGACTATGGTCACCTGCAACAAATAGAGTGGGAATGAGTAATCCAAATTACTCAGTGAGTTAGCGCCTACTAATGAACATGACCATTCCCGCTCTGAACCCAAAACAACAAGTATCAAGCAAGCACGCATTCATCACCAACAATCAAACCAAAAACTTCACAAAGTTCCACAACAGTTTATGATCTATATGCATGCAACCATTTCAATTCTAATAAGGCCTTGCGGTACCGACCCTGTTCCCAGCCCTCGATGGATCTGTAGACACCAAGTCTAACAACCCAAGTTTCACCCGATACTCTATACATCGTCATGTATACACGGCCCTAGGAGCCAGCCAGGTTCCTGCCATGTGCACAGCACCCGCCACGTCTTTCCCCGTGAACGTCAGACCGCCTCATTTTGATTATCAAATGCATGATACCCCGTGATATATGCATAAATAATCTACAAATACCAAAATTCACGCATAGTCTCGTCCGGAGCTAAGTTAAACAACCTACGCTTGAGACAACGCGAATACTAACCACCAAGTATTCAATGCGATTTGACTTG